GAAGACAAAGTTTATAGTACTTGTATATTATTGTTAAGTATTTGACATCCATTCAGGAATATTTTTTTCTCACGGCTGCATGTTTATTTAAGGGAACATTGGACCTCTCTAGAGGGGCATGAGACATTGGGTGTTTTGAGAGTAAATTACTTTTTCTCCTCTATACAGAAAAACAAGTGAACAGATACAGAAGGATGTTAAGGGTTTTTTTTAGATATCACTTAAATTTCACTGTAGCAATTATAATTACCCGTGTTTGTACTCTTTGCTAATGCATAAAATTACAGCGGTCACAGCACAATTTAACAATTCAGGATTTATCCCATAAAGTTATCTAGATTCTAATGTAACCACTTAAGTGAAAAAGCCAGAGATAGACTATTTTTGTATGCTTGTTGTTTAAAAAGACATAAATACAGTTTTATTGATTGCAGAGCGGTAATTCTGCCACGGCTTTGGGTTTTGATGGCATTAATTGCTTGTTATGAAAGACAGTGTGTTCAGAAGGAAGGTAAAGAAAAAAATGTATAAGTGAGACAAAATATAAAGCAACAGAAGTCATAATAGTGTTCATCTTGTACTGTGTTAAGGTAAGTAGCCAGTATCAGAGTAGAGTATGAGAACAGGGCAACTGGGTAATGTTACCCCCCCTACACTGAGCGCACTCCCAGCTTCCAGCAATTTGCAGTTAAGGGGCTTCCTCAGGTGCAATTGATACCCATTTGTATCTTACATTTTCCCAGTGTTTAAGTAATACATTTTCTTTCTTTGAAATGCTGTAGTTAGGCAGGAGGCTGCTAGGCTTTGATCTAGATAATGTAGCTCACGGAAAGCAATGTTTGTTGTTTCATACCCTTCATTATATTTTTTCAGGTGTTGAATTATTGTGACTGGTAGTTTTACATATTGCTGTGGTCTCTAAAACAGATTTTATATATTTTATACATTCACTGTACTTGAGCTATGTCCTTACCATGATGAATGAACTCATACTTTGTGCATTTATCATAAGTTAAGAGATTAAATGAAGAGATTTCTGATCAATTTGTATTTATTTACCTTGTATAAAATTAAAACCTGCAGTTCATAGATAGCAGTGACATTATCAATTTCACTCTGGTTTAAATGTAGTGATATATTATCACATCTAAAAATGTCAGGTGTGCTTCACTGTAAAAGAGATCAGCAGATCTCTTAGCACACTAGCAAACAGACATCCTGTTGAGATTGTTAAGATGTTCAGATGTTAATTCAGTGCAGTGCATTCCTATCTGCAGCCTTCTGCTTTGTCAAAATAATTTTTAGTTCAGGATTCTAATATTTTTGTATTTGCTAATGTCCTGTATTGTTCACCTATCTGGCAGCAGAACAATACAGAAGAGTATCTCATGATTTAATTTCAAGTAGTTCTTTTAAATGACTAGATTAAAAAATTCTGCAGTTAGATTTTGTTATGTTTAAATACATGGCAAAGTGATTTTAGTATTGTATTAATGATGCTATTCTTAGGCGGAAAGTACAGCAGAAGTAAGTATTGCTTTTAGTGAACTGACTTATGTTACATTATTTCACAGAAGATTGTTTGGAAAATAGGATAGAGCTCAGATTGCAGACACAGTTTATACAGATGGGAAAGAATAGGCTAATATCACACCTAAATAGAGGATGAAGTAGTAGCCAATTTATAAAATGTGAGACTGTTGTAATGTTAGATTCAAATTTTCTAGTGATGGATTATTTTTTTTTTCAGATCATGCAGAGATAAGAAACCCCAATCTGTACATCAAATGTGCTGAATAACTGTGCAGTGCAGAACAAAGTTCTTTTGAAGTGGTTTAATAACTAATCAGTATAATATATTGGTGCTCAACAAAATGTTTATTAGTTTAAGTATAAATATTTAAAGTTTAAAAGCATACCTGGAAATTAATTATCTGGCTGTTTTTATCATTTGTCTTTCCTGTCCTTCCTTCCTGGTACATAGTTTTACATAATTCTTCACTGTGCTTTCTGGCTTTTGAAGTAGGAACCCAGTATGTTTTGTTTACAGGTGGAAAAAAATGGGTCATTTGATACTGGATGCCATTTTCCTGACCCTTTCTTATTTGTAGGATTAAAGCAGAAAAACTGTATGGATGCTTAGTTTTAGATTACTGGAGCTACAGTAACATAGCCATATGTGAGGATGATTAAAGTGCAGATTAAGCTTTGATGGGGGTAGTTTTTTTAATATCTGCATCTATTTTACATATTAGTGTATGTTTTTAGTTGGTCATAGATATAATCATGCTGTTTAAATGAAGTGACACTGTTCTGGAACAGAATTCCACTACTAACACATGCTTTTTATAATAAAAATACAGATTGTTTTCTTCTTTAAGGTACATGTGTTTAACAGTTCAGTACTCCTTCATGCAGAGGAGTGTTCCAGAGTCTCAAGTACAGTGAATTTTAATATTTTTCCATGAAAATGTAGTTGTGGTTGATAATACTGACCTTTCAGAATTTCATTGTAAACACTTGTTAGCTTCAAAGCTGTCTGCTGGGGGATATTTTATTACTTTGTCACTGGTAGTAACACTTCTCTATTTCCTTTCCATTATCCAGCTGTAGTTCAGAGCACCTCACTAACTGATGCACAAAGCTTAAATCTCTGCTGTCTTGAATACTCTGTGTGGATGCCAACAGCTTGCTCTTTGGTAATTTCGTTGCATAGCTTTTAGTAACCCTGCCAGTCTACACGATATACGTGATTGTGGCTCTTAAGGATTGGATTTAAAGCTCAAATGTGTTCTGTGCTGAAAACAGCCCCTGTAAGTCTGAGCCGTTGCACTGACAGGAGCTGCTGTCTGCTGCTGTTGCTTGCAGGTTTTCTGACTACCCAGAGGAATGGGAGAAAAATGCTTAATTTTGTGCATTTGGTATTGCTGGAGGAGTGGAGAAGGAGGTATTCCTGTGACTTGCAACAGGGCTGCTAAGCAGAGCCTACAAACTCTGACATTTCTGTTTTCCTAAGGGCTCGGAAAAAGAAGTCTTTTAGGATATTGGAATATTTTGGGTGCTGTGGTGTGATTGGAGAGTCTGCTGTCCGGTTCAGAGGTAACTGAGTGAGTTCCCAAGGTGCCCAGGGTCAAAAGAGCATAGAGTCTGTCCCCACTTCGCATGGTGGCTGTGGAGGAATGCATCTACCTGTGCTCCAGGTAGATGGTTGCAGGTGGGGCACTGCAAATCCTGGTGTTGTATAGCAAGGCTGCTCTGGGAATGAATGTACGTCATTTTTGAGAACTGAGAGGATGGTTTTACCATTTTTAAAGCAATATGTCACTGAAAAAATCCTGGCATATAAATGCTGTTACATTTATGTGTATCGCAGTGCACATCCAATCATGAGGTTCTCCCTTTCACATGGTGTGTAATAAAATTTCAAAGACTCTTAGATTTAGCTGTCTTCAGAGCCAGAGGCTTCTGACTACCTATTCTATTGTAATGTCTGCAACCTGTGGAGCTGCCTAATGTTGTTGATTTCCTTGTGGACAGTATTTGTTAGCAGGTACAGTGACAAGTGGCACAGCAGTTTTGCAGTGAAAGCCATGGGCAAGACAGACAGTCTTCCCCAAAATCTTACATTTTGATTACATCCTTACATTTTATCCTTCTGTGCTGGCTGAGCTCTAAGCATCTTGCTGGTCCATGAGAACAGATGTGGGCTGGGCTGTATTTGCCTTGCACACACTTGGCTGGTATATGAAGTGTTGATATCAAAAGACTGCTTTCTTCTTAACCTGCAAGGATGGATGGACACACACAGAGCAGCGTTTCCAAAGGCCAGCTAAAGCCTTCCACTGGTTTGGTACCCACAGAGCAGATGTTTTTGTTGTGAAACCTCAGCAAATCTTAGCACAGTTTTCACCTAGTTGATTCTGTTTTGTAGTGCTCAGAGAGGAAGCCTGAACATGGAAAAGCCACGTTCAGAGGAATTGTGCTATTCAGCTTTGACACATCTCTTCCACTGCTGCCCCACAGTTAGCTTTCACTCTCTTTCCTTTGGGCTGCATGCACTGACAATGCTTTGGTTCACTAGCCCCCAAAGATAAACTCCTAACCTGTATATTTTGGAATTTTTTTGGAATATTTTACATACATACCTATGTACCCTTAATTTCAGACTTTTCCTAGAAAGCAGCGTTGAGGCAATTTGGTTGCACAAAAAACAGAAATGGAGTTTACCTTAGGTCTGCAATCTACAGCCAGTTCATGGATATCTTCGAAGTTGTAGCTGTACCATTAGCAGCAGTGTAGATTGAGGTGAACCCTGACAGTAGGTTGTCCATTTTAAAGCTGTTTTCCGACAGTGGCTATAAGAATATGATTGTAAGGAAGGTGCAAATAACTACGGAATTGTTTCTTCACATAAGAAGTGTTTCCTCATTGATTGACTTCAGTACTGAAATATGGAGATTTAATGTTACAGGTTTTGGAAGAAAAAAAAAAAAAGAAGCCAAAACCCCAACATGGTTCTGATTCATGTAATTAGCAATTGCTGGTCTGGATCAAAAGTAGAGGGGCAAAACGGAAACCAATATTTATACCCTGTTGGAATGAAGTATACTACACAGACTTCAAATGTAAACTCCCCCTGCCCTTCCACCAGGTACTTGTCTGCAAATTTAGGGTTGGGTATTCAGGATTGAGTGTTGCTTGTATTATGTACCACTAGAAGAACATGTAGACATCGGCACTGAAGTTTATATTTGGCTGTTTTGAGCATAGAGAGGGGATAATGAATTTATATCCAGGATCTTTCTTGCATCTTGAATGAAAGCCCAAGTTTCTCTGCATTCCTTAATTCTTACCTATTACTTGGCCTTTGTCAAAGTTTAAAAAAACCCCACAACCCAACAAAACCAAAACAAACCAAAGGAAAAAGTTCACTAGCTATATGCCTTCCCCTCAGAGAAACACAAGTTTTGTTTATTGATCTTACGATTATTCTTTTACAGTGAAATAAATGCCCGGCTTGATGCTGTGTCTGAAATGCTACTGTCAGAATCCAGTGTGTTTGGTCAGATTCGAAATCTTCTTTGTAAGCTGCCAGATATAGAGAGAGGCCTCTGCAGTGTTTTTCATAAAAAGGTATACCCATAATTACCCTAATTTATTATTTTCTAAATGGTGTTATTCTATCTTAATGTACTTCCATAGTTTTTGCATGTTTGTTTAAAATACTTTCTTCTTAGCAAGACTGAGGCTGACATACTAAAGGGATGCAAGTTTATAAAAATTATTTTTGCCTTATGGTAGAATCTTATTTTTTATCAATGATATGCTGGTAAAAGAAATGTCTGAGTAGGATTCTAGAATACATACATTGCATTGCTAATGCTAACAGGAAAAACAGCTATGGTACTCATGATTTCGTGGCTGGATTCGGTGAGATGGGATGGTGCAACAGGTCTTTGTGTCATAAACTATTTCTCTTTAAAACAATGCATTGTGTTCTGTATACTTATCTAACATCACACTTGCAAGTGAAACCACTTGGCAGTAGTTAGCTGTTTTCAAATGAATGTTAATTTGTTTATGTATTCTGTAATTTGGATCTCAGTTGCACATTTTAATAAGAATTACTTGTAATGAGACACTGACAATTCTTAGTTGAAGCAGATTAATGTGCTAATAGCACCTGTGCAGTACTTCATGTTCTTTTATTTCACTGTTATATAGAGAGGTTTTGACAGTGTGTTTTAATAAAGGAATAGGTGGGTAGAAGGAGAGCAAAGTTGTAATTTCTTTGAATGGTACAGCACAAAGGTTTCCTCTCTGAAAATCTGAAACAGTTCTTCTATAGTTTTTAAAGTCCTAATGTGTTGCAGTGTTAGGCACAGAAAGACTTGTGTATTTCAATGAATGGATACAGAGGTCCAGCCATAATGAAGTTTATGAAAAGACGTGTCCACCAACTTCCCCATCCTCTAAAATGTACCATATCCACATGATACAATTGTTCTTTCAAAACAACTGTCCAGGAATTAGACAATTCATTTTTTAATGGTTTAACTAATTTCAGTTGAGTGACAAGTAATGAGGTTTGTAGGGATACATCTGTATCTCACAGCATCCTGGCAAATCTCTACTGCTATCCTGTGCTTCCATTGGGTTTTTTGGGGGGGTTTGGGGTTCTTTTTTTTTGGTACTAGTCTGTAGCTGTTTCACCAGGTGTCCCTTTCTGTTATAGGGCTGCTTAGCCTTCTCTGCTTTAAAGCCGGCATTTTGGTGGAACCATTCAGAGGTCCTGGATTTTCATGTGATTTTTGGAATGAGGTGACAATGTAGTTTGTCTTAACAGCCACTGTAGCGTGAAGGTATGTGTTTAGTGAATCAGATGTTGGACAGAAGTTGCAGGACAGAAGTGCTCCAGCAGAATCGTTAAGGAGGATAAACAGCAGGAGGAAAGCTCCAAGCATGCACTTTTCCTTTGATGAACTAGCTTCAGTTGGTAAAAATCTGGTTTGTCATCCATTGCAGAACACTGTGGGAGAGTGCCCAAAGCACTGAAGATCTTTAGGACTTTGAGGAGATGACAGTGTCCCTGAAAGACAGGGTCTGTTTTGAATAAAGAATCAAAAGCAGACTTGGGGAAACAGATTCCACAGTCTAGACAGACAGTGAATATGGAGCCTTAAGAAAGGTCCCTGCAAAATAGATACATATTCAAGAACACGGAGTAACTGGTTTTCATGACTTTTTTTTCTCCCCCCCTGCCCCCCCCCCCCCCCCTATTAAACTCACTC